GCACAGTGCTGGTGTCAACACACCAGTGTGCACAGTGCTGGTGTCAACCACAGCAGTGAGCACAGTGCTGGTGTCAGCACACCAGTGAGCACAGTGCTGGTGTCAACTGCACCAGTGTGCACAGTGCTGGTGTCAACTGCACCAGTGTGCACAGTGCTGGTGTCAACACAGCAGTGAGCACAGTGCTGGTGTCAACCACAGCAGTGTGCACAGTGCTAGTGTCAACTACACCAGTGTGCACAAGTGCTGGTGTCAACTGCACAAGTGTGCAAGTCATTTTTTGACCTGGGACTTCAGATCTTCACGGTCCCTTCCCAACAGACCAGTCAGAACTTGTAGGGGACGCCGACCCTCATTTCGTCCTGGACGAGGCAGCAGCTGAGGGAACCGTGGTCCCTGCGGGAACTGCCGACCATCTGCAGTGTCAGTGTTTACTCACGGGGAAGAGAGCAAACGACACTTCCTTGTTCTGTGAACCAGGCAGGTGCTGGGTGTTTTATCAAAATGGCTGTGCTGGCACACACATGGCTGGCACACTCATGACTGGTACACTCATGGCTGGCACACACATGGCTGGCACACTCATGGCTGGCACACTCATGACTGGCACACACATGGCTGGCACACACATGGCTGGCACACTCATGGCTGGCATCAGAAATCTAGCCCATCTTATACTTTGGCTCTGTGGTGTGAAGAATGGGGAAATCTCTCTCTCTCTCTCTCTCTCTCTCTCTCTCTCTCTCTGTGTGTGTGTGTGTGTGTGTATTCCCACTAAGATGAGCTGAATTAAAGAAATCAAGTTTTAAAATACTAAAGAAAAATATGGGGTACGGCTTTAAAAACACATAGTCTTTGTTTCCGGCACAGAACTCTAAAGCCTTTGGAATTTCTCAGTCTCTGGTTCTTCCTAACAAGCACTCAGAAGGCCATGAGTCTGTACTGATGGGTGACCACGGAAAAGGCCCTGGGTAGACTGGAGTGGTGTCAGCTTTCAGCCCTGCCCTCTGGGACCAGGGGGGAGAGGAAAGCTGGGGATAAGGCCATTAAAATGACCTTGCAGTCTCAGGGACTCAGGAGTTGGTGCACACACTAGGAAGCTCTGGCAGTCATTCCAGTAAATTATAAAACTTATGGAGGGCAGTGTGGGAACCCCCGTTCTTCCTTTTAGTCATTCTCTCAGAAGTACAAGGAAATGCTGGGATTTGAGCAGGCATCTTAGATGGGAACGCCTGTGGGGACTCTACTAGCCATGGATGCTGAATATCTAAGTAGAGTTAAATTCTTGGATGCCCAGCTAGTGATGGAGAACTGATGCGGAAACCCTTGCATATCTGATGTCAGAAGTGAAAAAGAGAAAAAGACCCCATAGTAGCTTCCATCTACACAGTGTGAGCGGAGCAGGAGGGGCCGACTCTGACATTTTGTATCAACCTTCAGGTTTGCCGCTGCACCCACTGAACTCCGGTAGCATGAGTTGCAGCATCAACTTCAGGTGGCCGAGGAACTCCAGGAGGCAGGATGTAAGCTTAGGAAGAAAGGATACTGGATTCCCTCTAGTCGCAGAAGTGTGGTGGAGAACAGGAAGTGCATGCAACTGCGGGCCATTCTGAAAGGATCTGCTGGCTGGGGTTGCATGAGTGAGCACGCAGACTGGATAGTTTCTAGGAGATCTGTACATGCCACCACCACCCCACCGCCCCCCTGTATGTGAGGGAGCCGTCTCTCTGTACATGCCACCACCACCCCACCGCCCCCCTGTATGTGAGGGAGCCGTCTCTCTGTACACCTCTTCCTCTCACTCTGCCCTAACTGTATGTGAGGGAGCAGAAGAGTTTCAGGATTCTGAGCTACAAAGACGCCACCCTGAGTTATGGATCTTTTTAAGGATTTAATAGACACTATATTTCAATTTTTGTAATTGTTTAGGATGGATACAGTAGACGTGGAGAATGAATGCACAATCTGCTCCATTTGGATATATTTTGGCAGCTGAACCTCATCTCAACACCGGAAGGCCAGCATTTTTTGACCCAATGGAAAAGCCTTCCTCAGCTTGCAAGGGTGGCGGTGTAGGGTGGCCCCAGGCCCATCTCTGGACATTACTGAGACTTATTTTAAAGAAATTAAACATAAAAGGGCATCTTAGAAAACAGTGCTTTGAATAAAGTTTATAAAGATCTACACTTTGAACTAAAATTAATGAATTCTATGATCAGTTCTCATTTTTCTTCTTGGCAGATGCTGCCTTCAATTTTTAAACATTTGCCAAGGGAAAAAAAAGCCTTTTGCCAACACACATTAATGGGTTTGCCTGTTTCAGACCAGAATTCAGAAACGCTGCCAAGAAATCATTATTTGTCTTTGTTGTTATTTAATCTCAAAATTTTAAGTAAAAAGTAGGACATAAAATTATTTTTAAATCAATTAATAATAATAAGGCTAGGCTATCACTCAGTGGTAGAATGCTTGCCTAACATATGCAACATCCTTGGTTCTATTCCCAGAAACATGTGTGCACACGAGCATGAACACACTCACACACAGAGAGAGAGAGAGAGAGAGAGAGAGAGAGAGAGAGAGAGAGAGAGAGAGAGAGAAAACAGAGCAGACAGAAGAGAGAAGAGAGCCGGTTGTATCGTCCAATACAAGGAGATGTTCTTACCTGGTCCTCAAAAGAGAGAGCCTGGGCAACATCTCTTGGGAATCCATCAATAACAATGCCTTCTTCATCAGGTATCTGCATCAGTTTTTGTTTTATCTCAGTAATCGTTGTCTCCTTTAACACAAAGATGAAGACCTACAGTGTACTCCAGGCAGGACAATTCCTTTTTGCACAACAACAACAATCATGCGGCAGTACCTGTGGGGCCAGCTCCCCGTTGGTAATTATCTTGGCGATCAGACTCCATTTTCTGTTGCTGCTGGCACTGTGGATTTTCTTCCTCAATAATTCTCCCACTGAAATGTACTGGAATCCGTATCGCTCTGCAATTTTCAAACTCTGAGTACCCTTTCCACTTCCTGGACCACCTGGCATTCAAAACAGGAAAGCCTGTGACCTTGCACAGAGAGACATTCCTTACATGACAACTACTTAAACACGTTCAGTATCTATTCCCTATGAAACGGAATCAGGCTCGTATTTCAGCATTCAACACGGGATCACAGTGCTTTTATCTTTGCTTTTTGCATAATAATCAGAAGTTGCTGGTGGCATAAATCACCATGCTCCTACATCTGCTTGTCAGTAAGATGGAAACTTACATTACTATAGGTACTATCTTGCACTCATAAATACTTCCAATACATTATTATTTCTTTTGCTTCGGTGGTTACTAGGGAATAAAATTTTAATTTGTCAATTAAAGAGGAAAAAATCCCCGTGTTTAAAGAAAGCACCTAATTGACTAATTATCTACATTAAAGATTAAATGAAGAAACCACAGATTCATAAATCTTGAAGGGATTATTTTCAATTCATTATAGAGAACTACTGTGATGTTGTAATGGAAATCTAAGATTGTGAACTAGGTGTTAAATAGAATTGTAATTCTGCTTTAGTGAAAGTTGTTCTAAAATATTTCCATTTACTGTCCCTTGAACTTCTGTCTCTGGTTGGTTGTCATGTTTGCAGATAGGCCACCTAACTGTTATTTCTGAAATGGAAGCCTCCGAAATTAGCAATAGTAGAGAGCCTCAACGCTTGGTGTCCTACCTATGACGAGGATGACTTTGGGTCGAGGTCTCGCTGGGTCAAACACCTCGTACTCTTCTATCAGCTCTGCGGTCTCAGACAGGTCCGTGTCACTTTCTATGGAGAACTGATGGATGGGAGGGAGCCGGTCATATCGTCGATAAGGAAAGTTTGAGTTTTCAGGCATTACTGCAAGAGAGTGAGATAATTATGAAAAGAGGAAAAAAGGGCACAGTGAAACACTTTTCACAGTTGACCAACTAGACCAGAAGTTGTATCAATTAGCCAGTCTCTGGAAGAAGGAAGGCTTCCTTAGTGGTCAGCAAACTTTTTTCTTAAAGGGGCAGATAGCTGATATTAGTACCTTTTGATATTGTTGCATTCTATATTCTCAATATTTAGTGTTGTGGTGGCTTGAATGAGATGACCCCATAGGCTCATATATGTGCATGCTTCGTCCCAGCTGATGAACTGTTTGGGAAGGATTGTTGGAGGAGGTGCGGCCTTGTTGGAGAAGGTGTGGCCTTGTCACAAGGAGGTGTGGCTTAGAGGTTTCAATAGCCCACAGCACACCCAGTGTCTTTTCTCTCCGTTTGCTGCCTGGGGATCAGGATGTAAAGCTCTCGGCTACTTCTTCAGCACCATGCATGCTGTCTGTCTGCTCCCATGCTCCATGCCATGATAATTATGGACTAATCCTCTGAAACTGTAAGCAAGTCCCCAATTAATTTTATAAGAATTGCTTTGGTTGTGGTGTCCCTTCATAGTAATAAGACAGTACCTAAGATGAATATCTTTAATTTTGTTGACTTACAGTGTAAATACATAAATATGAAGATTTAAATTTATATCTACCCTGGCAACAAGCATTTGCCCCTTACTTCCAGATGTGTCTGTATGTGGAGAGTGATTTTAGTAGGAGGCTAAGCTGTAGCTGTTTCCTCAGTTCTGATGTAATTCTAGAGCATATGTGCTTAAATCTGATGGCCACACACCCACCAGGCAGAAAGGCGATGGTTCAAGTCTTTCCTAGTAAACTCTACAGCAGATCAAGGAATGTATAAATCCATCTGGGCTGGAGTCATAAGAAATGATTTTCGAAAGAGGCAATGTCAGAAGTTAGAAAATCAACAGAGGTGATGAAACATGGGCAGCAGACCCCAGTTGGCACTCACACATTAAAATGAAGAGTTGAAATACAAACCACACACGTCCCAGTGGTCCAGAAGACAGACCTGGCAAGCTCCAGACAGGCAGACAGATAGTATCAGCCATTGTCAAAATATAGCTCATAGCTTCTTCTTTTCTCATCCCAGGTGCTATTTTCTCACCCAGGATACAAAGAGAACCCTAACTACCAAACAACTCCTGCAGGAGGGAGATGGGCATCTACACGGCCTTCCACGAGGGCTTTCAACAGTTGATAAAGTGTCTAAGGACAGCACAATGCATCCTCTCCCAAGATGCTCATCAGCTGGAACTTTGCATTCTGTATTGATATAACACACTAAATCATTTCCCCACTGACTTACTAGACTGATTCCACTAAAGTCTTTAGAAAATATGAGGGAAGGCTATGTCATCGAGCATAGTAAACTGCTCTGCCTTAAAGTGAAAAAATTTAAACATGTTTGCCAATAATTTGCCTTTGCTTTATGGAATTTTCATTTAGGAAAGTAATTTGCTTAGATGATGAAAATATTTTATGTTATGCAATAATTTGTCTCAAGACAATTGTATGTTAGTATACCATTGCCAATATGTCTGCAAAAATTCATGAATCAGGGTTGGAGACATGGCTCAGTGGTTAAGAGCACTAACTGCTCTTCCATAGGTTCAGAGTTCAATTCCCAGCAACCACATGGTGGCTTACAACCGTCTATAACAAGATCTGGTGCCCTCTTCTGGCCTGCAGGCAGAACAGTGTATACAAAATAAGTAAATCTTAAAAAAAAAAAAAAGATTTGTTTTGCCGGGCGGTGGTGGCGCACGCCTTTAATCCCAGCACTCGGGAGGCAGAGGCAGGCGGATCTCTGTGAGTTCGAGGCCAGCCTGGGCTA